AGACACAACACCATGTTCTGAGGTGGGAAATCTGGGACCAAACACCAGCTCAGCTTTCATCAAAAGCACTAACGAATGTATTCCCAACTCGATTAAGGCCAACGTCTTGATCGTGTCTTGGCTACTGAGAACGGGCGCGGAGGGAGATCAACACGCCAGGTTATCCGAGAGTGCTTCGTTATCAAGTGGGATCGACCACGTAGGTCTCCCTTTGCCCGTCTCAAGGTTAGCTATGTCTCGCAAAGGAAGCCAGGAGATCTTCGATCTTCCCGGACATGCGCGCAGGCTGAACGGTTGGAGATTGCCGAGGGCATACTGCAACGTATCCGTACCCCCCCGCTAAACCAACAACAGTTGCCCTCTCAGGCAAAACACCGCGAAAAGATGTCGTCCTATCATTGCGCGCTTGACGATGGCGCAATCGAGCTCGTCTATCGCCACTTGACTTTGGAGCTGTCAGAACTCTGTCAAACAACCCTTGCCGCAGGGTTTGCTCCGACATATCTGATCCATGTCTATCAACATCATCAAAGAGGTAGCTCAACACCAAAGCGCATGAACAATGACCGACCGCAAGCCAAGTCAACAAATCCTTCAAAGGGGGTCGCCTTCCGACGTCCGCTGCCTCACAAGGCCACGCAGCTGGAGGGGAACCTTGGGACCTGCCGCCGCCGCCCGCGCGTGCGCCCTGGTCCCAACCCTATGCACCGCCCCTTCTGACAGCCGCCGTCTGATGTTTTCGAGACGCTATGAGGTCAACGATCCCACGGCCGCTTACTACGCAAGCCATTCCCGTGCGTAGGCTCGTCTCCGGGTGTGAACCAATCAGGTACGAGGGGGGACGAGCTCGAGAGTAGATGAGCCGGGCGTGGGACACAAAGGTGTGAGAGCAAAGCCGCAAACACTCAAGCCTCCGTAATGATCAACCGTGGCTGGAGCAAAGGATCGGGTCCGAGCAGTGGCTTGACGTCGAGCTACATATTGACAATATGCAGACAAGCTTCGCGACAGGTCCTGCACGGTGACTAACCGGCTAGCTCGACAAGGCACGGCTTGTTAGTAATCTCATGATGTCTGGAGATTTCCCGGCAGATTCATATTTCGACGAAGACGGACAGCACAGATCATGGCGGCCCGTGGTTGAACGAGGTGACTAACCACTTACACGATAGCCAAGCGCTAAGGGGATAATAATTCCCGTCCGCGTTGGTTCTGCTACCATTGTTCGTTCAATAGTCTCGTATCCGTGCCCACGCTACGCAGCCTTGGTTTTCTTCCCACGTCCCGTCGAGATAGAGAAAATTCCCCGACAGGCCTCAGGGGTCCTCATCTCGAGCCGCGCACCGGTCCAGCATCTAAGCGAGGCGGCGGCGCACGGTACCGTCTTTTCTGTTTCTGTACGCCTCTGACTATATCAGCCTGTTTCCAAGCCGCCATTATGTAATCCAAATCTACGCGTACCGTGGCTCGTGGGCTACCTTGGCGCTGGGCGTGGCGGGGGGTGGGTTACCTCCTCTTCTTTAGGAAGAGACCATTCGTGTGTTGAGAAAAGGGACCGAGAGCGGGAGTGGTTGTGAGGCGGGCGTCAAGTGATCCATGCGTTCGAGCCTCTTGTGAATGTTCCTTCCGCGCCGGCTGATGAGTAGTAGGATGCGCGGAACTGGTACCCCGGAGGGCTGTGATGGGACGGCGTCAAGCTCGCCCTCCTTCCTCTCCCGTGAACGCCGCGTGCCGCCGGAGAAGTGGAGCCTCACTCCACGCGCTGGAAAGGACAGCTTTGGCTTGTATTCGCTTTCAATATGTTTTGGTAATCTCGATGTGAGTGGCTTGATGCCTACGGTCCACATAACCCGACATCACGGTCCGTGGTTCGTGCGACTGCGCTGTTTGCAGTGCTGGGTCTGGACCCTGGCCTATTACGAGACGTGGCCGCACCAGTGTCCGCTCGTGGCGGCGGCTCTGTGTCAATGGCGTCGGTCGCCAAGAGATTTGAATGTGCTCTGATAGGCGTCATAAGTTATCAAGGGTTTCGCGGGAGCGGCGGCGAGAGGCCAGACATAAGCACGGGACACCTCAGACACGGGGATGAAGCCTGATGGATTGGATGCTTGCGAAGTATAGGTATTGATGGGTGACATTGAGGGCTCTTCAAACGACATAAGGGTAGGGAACTTATTGCTTATGATCGACGGGCTTGCTTTGTAAAAATGATGTGCCGTCTGGTCCATTGTGAGGCGGACAATGTTTTGGCACACCATCTCATCATGATGCGACAGTTAGCCGGAGCATGTGTCTGGGGCCGCTGGATGAGCTGTGCATTTTTGCCATCATACGGTCCTGGATAGACCTTGATTGACGTGGCTTGATGAACGGTGCTCAGCGTATGACGAAGGGAATCCCGTCCGCTTGGATCGTGGCTGAGGACCCCTATGCCCCCATGTCGATATGTCGCGAGAGGTTAAAAGTCGTGAAGGGTGGTGAGTGAACAGGGCCCCCCTTTTCGGTCAGTACACCGCGTTTTTGCACGGACGATACAATCTCCTTACCAATGACGCCAGAGGTTGAACCGCAAGACGCTCAACCCGTCTGAGAGCATAATTGACTCATATTAACGGGGACCAGACCGTTGACATTAAGGAGAGAAGATCTGTCCCTAAACCGCGCACGGCGTCAAGTTCCAGCTTGTGCGAGATGAAAACGACAGCTCGTCATCTGCCACCGGACAGTTCGCCATGTGCTGTGGCATGATTGAGTTCCAGGAACCATCATGGCCCAGCGGAAAGTGTGACAAGGTCCCTTATCCTGCCTACCTGTATTCGGTCTAACTAGCCACGCACCTGGTTGCAAAGAGTTTTGTTAGCACCTGCGCGATGGCAGAGTTTGGGCCACAATGACTCGTCTCGTCCCTTTTGGGTGCACTGTTCTACGCTCACGCCGCCTCGGCGTGATCGTATCCGAAGGAGTGAAGGTATCCAAACTCTAAAACAGGATGTGGACGGGATGTGATGAGATGGATGATTTGTAGATGGGTGCAAGCAAGATTGGAGAGAGCACGCGTTCGTCGCGGATGGCGCCGACGTTGCGTTTTCTCCCTTCCTCGCAGAAACGAGTTTGGCTTCGAGTGGGCAAGCGTAGGCAAAGTGTAAGTTCGATGTTGCCTTTTGTTGTGTCGTTGTGCACTGGCCAGTTTGTTTGGGTTCACCACGTTTCTGGGATGGGGTGTTCACGATGTTCCATGGGCTGAGCTTGTGGGTTGAAGTGTTGCGTGATTGTGAATCTAGCGGCGCCGGGGAACAGGCCACGATGCAGTCGAAATGGTCCCATGAACGCCGGCCGGGGGCAGAAGTTTTGGAGAGGGATGGGAGGGAAAGGTAAGAGCCATGGACGGGTTGGGCTGAAAGTTTGTGTGGGGAAAGGATCGTGATGATGATCGTGATGGGATTTGTTTGATAGAATGACTCGGCGTTTTGCAGTTCATGAGAGCTTCCGGGTTCTCACTAAAGCCGAAAGGCGCGAAATAGAGAACCGCCAAGAGAAGTATGTTCGTTGTGTTGGTTGTCTCGTGGCTTTCCCGCTTCATCCGTTTGCAGGGAAAGCCATGGGCTGCACGCGTCTTTGTCAGCGTGGCAGCAGTGGCAGCAACCAAGATTAGCCTTTCTCGTCCTGCATGTGTATTTGTGTGTGTGCTGTCTGGTTTGGGGTAAGGACGAGGTCAGAAGCACGTTTTCGGAAATCCTTGAATCGACTACGACTTTACCATCCGCCCATCTTCCATCACTGCGGCCGGACGGCATGCGGCAGTCCTCTTGGGCGGCCGAGTGGCTCCTGGGGTCACCGTACCAGAAAAGAAGGCTTACGGCCGGAGTGGGTGCTCCGTGCTCGTCGGCAGACTGGCCGGAGTTCGGTCGGGAGTTTCAAGTGAAACATGACCGCGAAGGACAGTGGCTTCCCGCCCGCAATAGAACTTGTTTGAGTTTGTCAGCCATCAGGGACGCGCCTCGGACAACTGGGCCGGCGACCGAGGGCTTGTCATTGGATATGGCATCGTGACTTCAGTTGAAGTAGGAGAAATAGGATCAGGGGGAAATCCGTTGTTAAAGTTGACTTTTGCTGCCCTATGATATCTTTCCGTGATAACGAAACATTGACAGCTTGTCTGAGCGAGATTTGAGTTGCTATGCGCCTCTTCTAGAACCGGAACCGGATAGCGAAGGAAAAGGGTGATGAGGCCTACGTGTTCGGTGTTAAGGTTGCGGGAGAAGGCTGATAAAAACAGGAACACCCATCGTCGAGTTTCTTGGCGTTGACATGTTGGTGGGTTTGGTGATGGCTTTATCACGAGGCTGACCGGGAGTGTCGGGCGTCCTGCGACGATGAGGATCATAGCTGATACGCGTTTGCGACTCTATCCGGGACCTTGAGATGATTCTCATACCGCAATCTCACTCTTCAGCTTTGAGATGAGAATTTGAGCCCAACTTCAGGACGAATAAACACCAGATGACTTCGGACAAGAAATGCTTGATTACCGCCTGCTCCGCTGTTCCTGTCTCGCCTGTCTTGTCGTTTGATGTCGATGCCTCGAGGTTGTGAGCTGTCAGAGTAAGGAACACGGAGCTTCTCTGTCTTGTTAGTTCAAAATGAATATAGGGCTGTAACGCTTTGACACTCATCTTTCAGCAAACATGAAACGCATCTCACGTTGGAGCCGGAAACCGCGAGCTTAAGTCAATCAAGCCTTTTGGAATGAGAAAGTAATCATCAGAAGAAGAAACGGAAAGACATGGGAAAGTCAAACATCGTGAAGATTCATGACAGGGTTTTCAAGCGGCCGACAAAATGGCCTTTTGCATCCTCCCTCCTTTTCCATACTCTCCATGCGCACTAACTCTATCTTTGTCCGTGGTGTTCCTCCGGTGGTGCCCTGCTCTGCCTACGGATTTGCTGGTCGCATCTTCAGACTCGGCCGGGACTCAACCAGCGAGCTGGCAGCCACACACCTAGTCGCTGGGGGTGATCGGACCTCCGGGGACCGGAGATTGAGTGACGATGGGCCCACCCGGGACCGGCTGGTCTGGGATGATCGGGCCCCCGGGCACAGGCTTATCGGGGATAAGCGGACCACCCGGAATTGGTTGGTCGGGGATGATGGGACCGACACCGATGTCTTGACCACATGCTTTGAGGGCTGCGATGATGGCTTGCTCCAGGTTCCAGATTTCGAAAGGAGGCTTATTCCCGTAAATGAGAAGCAGGCTCGTCAAAGTTGCGCGGAGACCAATGACATCAGAGTCCTTGCAGCCGCCAATTTCAAAGATTTGTCGTTTTGCAGAAGGGCCAAAGACGACGGTGGCTTCGCCGAGCGCGATGGTGTCGACCTCAACGCCCTTGCCAGCAAGAATGTCGGCGAGGTGTAGCAGTATCATGTATGTGCCTACTGATGGCTTGGCTTCTTTGGTGTAAGACTCAAGGAGTGAGAGATAGGTGTCTCTGAGGGCACCAAAATTTCCATCACGCCGTGTTACGGTTGCTCCTGCCTGGAAGAGTATTAGTTCATCGTCATAAAGACAGCTAGAAGAAACGTCGGAAGGATCGTATGGAATGTGAACGTGTAAAGTCTGGGATGTACTTACCTGTCGCTTTCCTGGCCTTATGTCCGGTGCCGTAATAGGAGGGTTGGTAGGAGAATTGCCACCTGGAATTAGGATGACAGAGCCTTCTCCTATTCCAAACTGGGGAGCAGCAATGCTCAGAGCCGCAAAGCCCAGCAAAGCTAGGTGGTAGGCCCGCATCGTGGGTGCTAGGCTGTGCTAGAAGCAGTGAGTGCAGAGTGATGGATGCTCGAGACTTAAATGCTAGTATTCTGATTCCCAACCCAAGCTTAAACTCAGCTGCCACTGTAAAAGGTAGCGTTCTGCCCCTCGTTTGGCATCGCAGAGTTCATTAATATTAATATGGATTATACGAGAGCTGTGCCGGCGCAAAGTAAATGGAGTGCAGCCGGCGGAATTTACCCGAGCGAGTTCGCCGTGGGTAAAACCGAGACGTGCTCTCCAATTAGCCGTCAGACTTGAGATCAAGGAGAACCACGGTAATAGCTCATTCTCAGATATTGTGGCTGGGCCCCATCTCTGAAAAGTGTTGTTCCTGATGGGATTGGTGACAAGGCTGCTGGAACGGAGGAAGTTATCGAACCGATGTATTCAGTTCTGGAAATACGGAGGGAACGGGCCCTTCCTACTAACATAACAGATCTAGGAAACCACACCTTGCGCTGCAATTGAAATGGGAAGGTCTTGAGGAAAGCATCGTATTTCTGGTATTGAGAGCATAGATTATGGTCCAATCCAGCAACAGAGTGAGTCGACTCACAAGTTCTCGGTGTATTGAAGCCAAAGTTTTGTGCTGCCGGTTATGAACAAAAGTGCTGCCTAAATAAGGGTGCGATTAATCATCCGCAAGTTCTAGACTGGATATCATCGTCTCTAACGCGCCAATTACATTCTCGTACACAGCCTCTTGAAGGCGCGGTTTGGTTAGATCCGATCCGTACCCGAAGTCGCAACGGAGGCATTTTTGAGTAATCTCGTGATATCGGGGACCCAATGATGATGCTCTCAAAGCCAACTTGCGAACCTTGAGGACGTCCTCTGGCTCAACTCTGGTCCACCTACCTATTTGCAGGAGTGCCACACCAAGACTGTGTAGTGTGGAGTTGTCGATTCCACAGAATAATCGTTCATCTTCTGATATTTGGGATGGAGCTAACGAGTCTGACGAGGCTTGAACGTCCTCCATCGAGTAGAGCTGATGTTGGGTGACCTCTACGCGGAGATGCAGTGTGCGGAGAGCTTCTGAAACCTCTTCGCTTTGGTGAGCTTTGAAGAAAGCAAGGTCTCTCAATCGCCAGAATTCGCTCAGCCATGGCGTGGAGTGAAACTTGAGAACTGCTGTTACCAAAGAGCGAGCTAGTCTGAGCCGATCGAGCGTCGAAAAAAAGTCTCTTGACGAATCATCAAGAACCTCGTCCATAGCAACCACCTTCTGGCTTGTAGACGGAGAATGAAGAGCCCCCTTACAAAAGCTATCTTTAGCCGGATAAAATGAATGGCGGAACGCTTCGTCTGAGTGTACGTCCAAGTGACCTAGGCACTTTGCATTTAGTTGTCGCGTGAGCTCCTTGCAAATATCCTTCGATAGTCCGAGGTCACAAGATTCATAGGCAGTACTTTGACCGGAAGACACATGTGCAAGACCATCATTGCTTTGTACGCGTGTCTGAACTGCGGTTTCTGCAAATCTCACAACCTTGAGTCGCTTGTGAGAAGCAGATCCGTCCTCTTGAGTAGAGGAGAGCTGCCCAGGGAGTTTGGGCTCGATCCATTCCAAGTTCTGCGATCGTACTTCCAGCTGGACGAGTGTTGATTTTAACATCTCCCTGGTATGGTTACGGCAGACGAGGGCTAGGTTCATCTGTACTTCGCCTTGCACTCTGTGTGTCTCCACGAACAGCTTCACGGCATGCCCGAGGTGACCAGGTTGTCCACAATTCCATGTCCGCACCAGTGCCTCATAGAGAGCCTTCGAGGCCCTTCGAGTCCTGATGAGACTAGCCCAGTCTCCTCTCCGAGAAGATTTAGCGCGGACAGCGGAACAAGACTTTGGTTCGTGGATCTCCACAACCTGCTCTCTCAGGCCCTTGAGCTCGTTATTGGATGACCGAAGCTTGTCCAGCGTCTTCTCCAAAGTAGCTGCGTTTAATGCAACTTTGACACCCTCCTGACCTTTTCTAACAATGTTCTTCAATTTTCCGCTCTGTTAAACGTTAGTAGAAGGGATCGCCCCTTCACCGAATTTCCCGAAGGATCGACATACCTTCGCCTTAGTGCGCTCTTCCAAATTCATTATATCTGCTTCCAGAGTACTAATACTCTGAGAGATTTCGGCGGTAATATCATGCCATGTATCGTAGTTTTCGTGCAATCGGGATCGAAGTGAGGCATCGAGATCAGGCCCACGCCAACCATCGTGGTCGGCGTCGGATACCATGTCTGCAGCAATATCATCGTCCTCAATGACAAATTTGAGCCATAATCGACATTCGTTGGCGAAAACTTGACGCTGAATCCTGAGAACTTTCTGTAACTTTTTGGTCTCTTTGGAGCGGTGTCGAAAGAGCTTCAACTTGCGTTTGACTTCTTTGTATGCCTTAATCGCACCGCCGATCAAGGGCACGATGCCAGCAACGCCCAGCGCAAGCTCGGCCATGGCACCTCAAAAGCAAAAGCCTCTAGTATCCGATAGTCAAGAGCCTGATGAACTAAAACAAACGAGAAAGAGTCTGTTCAAACGAAAGCGCAAGTTAGGTTGGATGTGCCGACGTCACAACGTGTGACAAGCAGGCTGCGCTGACGCTGAGTCAGACAAGCTCTATGTAGAGCTGACGAATCAGACATCGCCAGAGCCAAGAAGAAAAGTGGCAGCGGCACAGCCCCTCAGCACCCGTATCACCTGTCTCACGTGCAGATAGCGAGGCATTTTTTCTTCCCGAATGCATGTCATGCCCAGGCATCTTTCGATCTGGATCACCACGTTCCTCTAGGAAACCATTTCGCCAATCGAGGGTCGACTCCATGGACAAAGATGACCGAAGAAAATGAAATCTCCGCGAGAAGCAGACACCTATGATTCCGCTCGAATACAAAATTGGATTGCTGAAGCGGTCCTGGACGCCCCAGAAGCTAAGAGCCTCGTCAGCCGACTTTGCGCGGAGTGCGTAACGGTAATCAAAGCCGCGATTAAAGAAACGAGCTGCCGGCAGGATATACCCGGATCTACTTATCGTAGCTTAGAGAGAAATGGAAGCTCGTTGATACTTTGGGCTGATGGCCATGATGTTGTTCATGGAAATCTCGATAATGCCATACAGCAGTCGACCACATTGCAGCGATGCATACTGGAGCATCTTGCGAGCATCAGTGAAACGCTATTCAGTCGTTAGTCTTTACTCATCAGTGGAAAGAAAATCGCGTGGCTAATTTCTTCTCCAGGACTGATCCCCAAACTCTTTCCACCAAACGGGGATATGCAGTACCGGACAAGCCTTCTTGAATCCTTGACATGGGAAGCACAGACGACCATGGAAGACAATTGCGGCCGATCTGACGACGGAGATAGTGAAGGTGATAGCTCCACTGTATCTGACTCGAACGACTGGGAAGATATAGCGTATGACATACAGACGGACGTCGAATGTTTGGTCGATCTTGAGCCTCTCATCCAGTCTCCGTTTGTTGAGTCTCGGCAGACAAAACAGACATCAAAGGGAACAAATGAACTGCAATCATGGACACCGCTTCAATTCTATTCGGACCGTATTGTCAACCGATTTCCGCATGCTCAGCACCAACTGGTTTACCGACTTGCCAGTGCAAATTGGGAACGCTTTCAAAGAATCCAATTGGATAAGGAGCAAAATATGGGGGTAACAACAGATGAAGAAAGGGCCGCAGCTGCTCCCCTTCCTCTTACAGAAAAAGGATCTACCTCCCTTGATTCTGGGCTCGGGCCGTCAATCGTGCCCGGAAGCTCCTACGCGGAAACGATAATGTCATATGGACAGAACATTAAGCACTCGATCAAGATTCCAACACTGCCAGCTGAAGCAAAGAAAGGGAAGTCTTTCGATTGTGTTGCATGTGGCCGTCTTCAAGCTGGCGTCTGGAATAATTCGACTTGGAAGTAAGTTTGCGGCCTATTTTGAACTCAACGAAGACGCTAACCAATGCTAGAAAGCACTTTTTCAATGATTTGCGACCTTGGATCTGTCATGATATTTCGTGCCAGTACGGAACCGAGCCTTTCCTGACTCGGGAAGACTGGGTTCAGCATCTGGCGTTGGATCATTATTATGCCAGCCGGTGGGAATCATTCAAATGTCCCCTATGTTTGGAGGCTACCGGGCAGGGAAAATCTACGATACTACAACACCTCTCCAATCACTTAGAAGAGATTTCCCTGTCCTCTTTTCCAACCGGGGTTGACTCAGACTGTGACGACGACAGCGACTCGGATAGCCATACCTCTAGCCTCCAGGATGTGGATGTGCCGGACCCAAATCAAGAAACAGGCGGCGACGAGAACCAACAGCCATTGAACCAATCTGTTGAACCAGGTGTTGCAGTGAATTGTGATTCAAAGTTCCTGAGTGTCACCTCAAGGTCATACTCGGGAGTATCACCAGGAACAGGTCGCACGAACCAAAGCCCTGAGATATCGACCGACGTTTTCCCGAGTGAGCTTATATCTCCAGCTCCGCAAGTTAACGACATGACCAAGCGCCTGTCGCCTTCCGATCCAAAATGGGCACAGTATAAGGACGCGATCGAGATGATGTATGTGTTCGATCGCCTGTCTCAGAAGAAAATCAGGAAAAAGCTTGGCGAAGTCGGGTTTGAAGTGAGGTGAGTCTGCTATTCCTTGTGCCTTCATGCACGATGAATGCTGACATTATTTAGAAAATCGGAACTTGAGGCCCAACTAAGATTCTGGAAAGTTCTGAGAAATCCGGAGAGACCGGTTACTGAGGATTTGTTCGAGTCATCGGAACTTGCCAGGAAATCACTGCCGGGGAACCCACTGAACCCGAAACCGCCCTGCAACACTCTCTATGTCGGTAACCTTCCTATCGACACTTCCGAGGAAGAGCTTAAGGCTGTGTTCGCCAAGCAAATAGGATATGTGCGCCTCTGCTTCCGGACCAAGCAGCACGGCCCTATGTGTTTTGTTCAGTTTGAGGACGTATCTTTCGCTACAAAGGCTCTCCATGAGCTATACGGTTACCCTTTTGTTACGACCCGACAGGCATGACACGTTGGAACAGCCCCGCCTGGCATCTCGGCGGCTAACGCAGAACATATGTAAGCAGTAACACAGGTGTAACCAGGAACCATCGGGAAAGGAAGAACTATGGTACAGGTCACGTGACTTTGGAAACAGCACGG